TCAATTGGTGGGAGGGAAACCCTTGCTGAGAACACTGAAGTTTCACCACCAAATGTCGCTTTGAAGATCCCCTGGACCACTCACAAAAAGTGGCAAGCTACAAAATCCACGACCCTCCATCCAAAAAACGGGATTGAGGCTTGGACAAAAACGGTCACTTAATGAATACAGGATGTCCAAATCAAAAAAATGCCAGCTGTTTCCAAGGGTTTCCGCATGTCGGTGATTCTTTGGTGCATCCTTTAAACTTGGTTGACGTTGGAAGGGGAGCAAACATCTCAATTTTAGCAGTCATGGGGATTTCAACCACTAAACCACAACAAGCAAAAATGTGAAATGTTTCCCGACAACCATGTCATGTAAGGGACCCTTTGAGAACCAGGGCCCCTCAAGTTCGCGCCAAAGATCCGTTCCGGCAGTGCCCCGCACAGGAGGTGCAGCTTCAGCAGCCGTAGCACCCTCGCAGCTGAGGCAAAAAGGGGCGGGGGGTCTCAAAATCGCGCCCTGAGATGGTATCCTTTGGGCTCCCCCGAGATGCCCAAACGAGTGTTCCAGAAAGGAATGATAAACAACAATACTCGGTTGCTTTCTGCTCCCCTGCTAAAAGTTTAACTTTTAGTGGTCTAGTGGAAAACCCATTAGTTGGCAAAAAGTTAAAGTCCTAACAGCCAAGCAAAATGCACCAAAGAATAATAAAGATATGAAAATAATAAGTCTACAGTTTTATTGCTGAGGACAGCTATCTCTTGTCCCACCCACATTCATCCTTCTCTGATTTCTGGATGTTAATATTAGACGGGGGATAGGGGGATGAGATGATAGAATCCTGTCCATTCCTACCGTTACCCGGCGTATCCAGCGTCCGGGAGATCCTGAGGTAGCGAAGGAATGTGGCAAAGTGTCTGGGATTCTGGATCTTACAGGTGACTGGAAAGAGAATCCCAGATTCTAAGGCACTTTTCATATTCCTCATTTTCTCTCTTAATCTCTTTCTCCTCTCTATCCTTCCTCTCCCATCACTTGGCGTCCAATCGATAAAAAAAAGGTGATGGAAAGAGAAGAGGAAGAGAGGTGAAGCGAAAGAGGAATGTGATGGGTGAGTGGCAAGGCTGGTTCTGTTCCCTTCCAGCCCTCACACGTCTGGATTCTACCTAACCTTCAGAAATTCCAAGCTAGAAAGGTTAGGCGAAGAAAATTCCATCCCTTTCTCTCCATCACTTCTTTACCGTTCATAAAGATCCTGAGAGATAGAACGAGAAAGGGATAAAGGCGATGGGATTCCCAAAGTCGTTTCCCATCTAACAATAATCCTACATCCTTATCTTCTTTCTTCATCCTCTTTTCCTTTCCTACCTCTATAATTTCCCGAGACGAAAGGATGGGAAAACGTAGGAAGGAGAAAAGGGATGCATCCGGTCCCATTCTTATCAGTCACTGTAGGTTTTTACATGCCGAAACCCGTCAACCACAAGGCACTCCTCAGCTTCACTCTTGGGGTTTGGTGGTTTGGAGGTGTGGCTTTTCATTTGCTCCCTGCTCGAATGCCAAACCGATCCAACCACGGGATACCTGACCATCCCAGCAAAAACCAACACGGCCAACACGGCCAACACGGCCAACACGGCCAACCCGGCCTGTGGAAGGTCCGCACATCCAGGGTCTCCTGCGCCAGCGAGGACCTGAGGAGAATGATTTCGTAGCCCCGAAATGGGCAGGTTCCTACCCATAAGGAGGATTCGCCTTGTCATGCCGCGAGGAAAGGAACAAGTGGCATGTGGCGGGTTTACCACTTGCCCAAAGATGGATGCACAAGCGAGCACATCCCGCCGCAGCCCGCAATCGCTTCAAAACACAGAACCAATTGCTCCGAGCCACGGTGCCGTGCCGCAAGTCGCGCCCCGGGAACCCCCTGCCACCCCTCCCTTGGCAATAAGGCGCTGCCAAACCAATGCGCCCAACGGCAAACTGTAACACTGGGCAGCCGCCAGTGGCTATGTACACACCCTGTTTTCTCTAGGGTGGAATTAGGACCCCAGCAAAATATATATATATATATAAATAATTGCCTGGGTAGTGGAAAACAAGGGGACCCCAAAAAGGCGAAACAAAACAAAAGGGGAGCTAGTTCTGGGGAAGTTCTCTGATGCCAAGGAGATCTGTTCACTGGGCTGTTCAAGAAGGCGGTTCTACTCCTCAATCCGAGTTTCGGGAAGCCACTAAGTACGAAGAAAGGACCTGTTTCATGCATAACTCAAAAACCTTGCGGATTCAATTGAAGAGCCCACGGTGATATAAACTAGTCAAGGACATTTCGGGATACTTCGGGCAACTGTCAGACTGTCAGCCAAAAGCAAAGGGACACCAACTGCCAAAAACATGGAGCGTCTCATGGGGACGGATCCTATCTTGGTGCCATACCACAGGTATTTCGCGAAAGCACAAGCTCGACATACCCATTTGCACGTTACAAAAACAGAAGATAAATCAACAGAGTAGAGGAATATCACGCCGTGAAACAAAGGAAACAAAAAAACAAAAACAACACAAAAAGAAAAAAACACTGAAAAACCAGGGCCCACTGACCGCGCAGCACCCGAAAGGCAGTTTCCATGGCACATCTCTCTGAGCGTGAAACCGCGGGCGGGGAAGCGGACCGAGCTAATCCACACCTCTCAAAATGCTGGGTTTTGGGTTCTTCGGAAAACTCGGAGGCACCCCGCCCCATTTGGAAGGGCCTGGACCCCGGTTTCTCTAGGCGCCCGGGCCAAAGCACCCCGAAGAGCGGCTCGGTGTCCAGGTTCTGGAAGCCTCCCACTACCGATGGGAGACAAAGGGATCGCGCCCTTTGGGTGGGAAACAAGGATTCATCTATCTAAGTCGCTTTCTCTTCTTTTGGCACATTCCCTCGTTCTTTCTTTTTATCTTTCTTTCTGTCTTTCTTTAGACTTTATTTATTTCCATCTCCTCTATACTTTCAATCTGTTCTATCTTATCTATCTTATCTATCTTATCTATCTTATCTATTTTAAAATCTATCTCATCTGTCTTGTCTTTCTCATTTCACACGAAGCTGCTTCAAGATTTGACGCACCAAAGAACCCAAGGCAGGTCCGCGACGGTCGTGTTCAACGCCGGGATGGGGGGGCCCAAGAACCCTACGTTCCCTAGACCTCCAGAAACCCATAGGAAGGAGAGACGAGAAGACGGCAAAGAGTCAAAAAAGAAACAAGCATGTTGTCCTCGTCTCCTTTTTCTTCTCCGCCTAATTCTCTTCATGAACTTCTGGTTTGTTAGGGGAATGGAGGAGAAGGAAATAGCGGTTCATCTTGGCTGTCCTCCCTCCAAGATTCGATGACCAGTCCGGAGGAAACTTTTAGAGAGAGAGAGATAGAGAGATGTCCGTGATAAAGAGGACAGAATAGAGGCTGGCAGGTGTTAGGAAAGTGACCATGAAATCTAGTTGCAAAAACGAGTCTTATCCAGACCCGACGTTGACAATGCATAAGTTTATGATTCCATTCCTGTCTCTCACATCTACCTTTGGTGAGCTAGAAATCCTAATAATAAAGGACGCTATAACCCCAAAGGTAGGAAAGGAATTGACCATCTCGCACCTATCACTCCATCCTCAGCCAAGTCTCAGCTGTAAAACGACTGTACACGGATGGTGAGTGGCAGGAAAGACGATGACAGGATCAGGACAAATCGCTCGCCATGACACTCCCATTCTCTTCTTCCCTTGGCACATCTCGTTTGTAGGTGTGAAGGTGTAATGAGAGAAGCGAAAGGGCCCTCCATTCCCATCCTCGTCTGTGAAGCCGGATCGGGATAGGAACGAGAGCAGATATGAAAGAGAGAACCCTCTGGGAGATAGAAATAGAAAGGAACAGGAAAAACCAACACCCACTCCCTCTTTACAAGGGGAATGGTTCAAATCAGCTCGTCAGGGTGATGCGTTGAGCTGGGAGGAGAACTGAAGGAACAGTTTCCTCTCAAAGGGACCCTTGCCAGGTGCCATGGCAGTGGGAAGTAGGGAATGTACTTTCACGTTTGGACCCCCGGAAATGAAGAGAACATCCTGTCGACATATAGTCGGAATTTAGAAACGTCGAATCCAAGGTTTCCGCTAAGGGGGGAACAGGACCCCGGACTGAGAAACCGTTTAAACAGATTTAAACAGATAGGGAGGTGGGGGCTCCGAAAGTGATTACTACAAGACACCCCCCTATTCATTAACTGGGCCATGATTCATCTTCGGGTCACAGAAAGTCACCCTTCGAGAACTAGCCCGGCTTCTCACTTCTGCGGTCCCAAGCATCTAACCCCCAGTCTCTGGAAAAGCGGGGGTTTCCACTAGGAACCAACTACACCCTCAAGAACCAAGGGTTCCAATCCAAACCACCATATGCGTGTGTCATTCTTTCGGGGACCTTCCAAAATGGTGGTTTTCCTTTGGTTTCCCTTTAAACCAACCCCAAAAACCGCAGACACGCCGAAAAGAATTAAAAAACGGCCACCCATCATCATGGGGTGTGCAAACGAGCCAAGCCACCGACCCCGGCCTTCAGACTCCAAGGCGTTCTTGAAGGCCGTCATGTCCATCACGTCGCCTCGATCGATGCCCCGCGTCTCCCAGGCCCGGGGCTCCATTGGCCAACAGGGGCTGCTTGAGGAACTTTTTAAATCCAAAACCACCACCAGCACAGAAGGGCCATTGGAGGGAACTAGGCGTTTGGATAAGGAGAAAATGTGTGCCTTCGCTTTGTTGTGAGCTTTGTTTTGGGCTGAAACGGCTCTGTGTTGTTGTTTTTGCTCGCCTGGAAAGCGGTCTGACAATCCTACTGCGCATGCCCCAGGTAAAGGTCCTACCACCACCAGAAGGCTGGGGAGTGGAGGGGCTGCCATGGCGTTGAGGTCTATTGGTTCCAAAGGGAATCTGAGATGGAAGCGACGAATCAAAGGGTAGCCCGAAAAAGGGTACACCAAAAATGGAATCCGATACAATAGTTGCTTCTTCAGTCCGGGAAAAACAAATCCGGCTACGGTCCAACTCTTCGAGCCCCGCCCCGGTCTTCCCTCAACTAGTATTGAGGAAGCACAAAGCAATACTAAGCCAGAGCTAACCCAATACTGACCGACGCAAACCAACAAAGGAAAAAGCTAACTTGGGGGGAGGCCAAACTGACCCCCAAAGTGTTTTACTGGCTGTCTCTATTGGGGCTCCCTAAAGGGGGAGAAGCGAGGCCTTTTTCACTCAGTCACCCCACATTGAAATGGACGCTCTGGCGGGTTCCATGTTAGTTGACAGGAGGGCATTTCGACATCCCTACCAAAACAGCCGGGGGGGGGGGTCTTGTTCTGAGCCCAAGTGCCATCCTCAATCTCAAAATTACACGAGCTAAACGGTGTTTCAAAGGGAAAACAGGACCCAAAAGAACAAAAAATCGGGAGCCCCAGTGTATCGATACAAAATCCCTCCTACCTTACCTGGTCAATCTGCCATTGTTGCTTTGGTTGGTTGAGGCGTCGTCTGATCCAGCCTAGGTCACTGCATCGCAAACGGCCCAACAATACAGTCATAACCCCCTCAACGCTACCAAGCACGCCGTATGATCGACACATAGAGCCCATGTTGCAACCTCCTTCATTCAGGGTATTGAGTTTGAGGGCTGTGAGTCTGCAAAATAGACCTGGCACGTGCCCATGGCACACCAGCACCCACCCCCTCCGTCCCCTTCAGCCCCCGCTGCGGCCCCTTCCGCCTACGTCGTCCACCCGCTTCTGGTCGAAGCTGGCCATGCGGCGCCAGAACTTGGGGGTGTCGTCGAAGCTGGTGGACCGCGAGCCTTTGTCGCCTCAGCTTCTGTCCCCGGGCCAGCCCTCTCGGCCTTCAACTGAAACAAGGCGCCGCGATGACCACATTGATACCTTCCATTTGGTTAGGACCCCTGGAGAAAAAAACATATGCCCAGTAGGGATAAATTCCTTTTGAAACCAACAAGGGAGAATCACAAATATTCCTAAGCAAATGGAAGTTACCCCCCTGGGTAACGGAACGCGCAATAAACGAGAAGGTTTGGAGGTTTCAACCTTGGGGTGTTCAAAAGCTCTGATTCAAGGCCCCGTGATCACCACGGAGGGCGCACTTCCCGAGACGGGCCAAAAAGGTGACGCCATGCCTTTTACGCACCACGTGGCTCAAACCCCAGCGACTAAAGCAAACCCAGGAACTCAGAGAGTGAGCCTGAGGTACAGCAAAAACGAGGTTTGAAGGTTGCGGGTTTGGATTGGGGGTTTGGATTGTTCCGGGGAATGGCTTTCCATTTACGTCTCATGAGCCAATTTGGGACACCAAAAAGTCGGCTTTGAACCGCTCCGGGGCCTGAAAACAATGACAACACAATTCCCACCTTAAGTGACGAGGGGATGGGGTTGAGGTTCTCGATTCCACCTTGCTCACAAGAGGGAAATAGAACCATGAACGGAAGTGCAGGTTCCATGTTTAGTTTAATGTGCGGCGACAAAAAAAACTCAACCGCCTTCTGTTGAATTCCACGACGTTGGCTTGCGACCCTCCGCCGAAACCGAAGTGCGGCCCCTTTGCGGACAACTGAAGTTGCTCGGGGTTGGCACATGGGTCTGTCCTTTTTTTTGGGGGGGGGTTGGTCTCAGGGGAAGCCAGGGCCCCCCAATCTGCCAAAGGTCAAATCGCGCGTGCCATCCCAAAGCGACGGAAAAAGTGGCGGAAAAGCGAGGATTGCCCCTGGAAAAGACCGAAGAAAGACATGGCTGGCGAAGCTTCACTTCCGCGAATTGGTCAATGCAGCCTAGCTGCTTGCCCCTTCACTTGCCCAAAGGACCCAAAAATAAGAGTCCACCTTCTCCCTCAGGAAACGGGTTGGACGAAGTCAGGAAACAGGTTGGCTCGTGCCAAGCAATATGTAGCTGACCAGCATGGGGAAGCCCCCATCTTCCCGCAAAGTTCGGGCGTATTCTGGGCTGCCAACCCCCTGATGTCAGGGTCACAATTTTCCGCACCGAAAAAGGCCAGGGGACATGGGAAGATCGAGCTCTAGAAAACCGTTTGGATGCGTTTTTTCGTCGATTTCACCCGTTCTTCGGCCTGTAGGTTCCTTTTAGTACTCCCTTGTATAATACTCTTTTGATATCCTACAGGGGTGGATCCACAAAAGCTGCATCCAACCCGTTTCTTAGATGAGCCACCACGCCCCGCCCAAATACCAGAGACTACCAACAGTTTTCAACGAACCCATCCAGAAAACGGAACCTTGGAATTCCAGTCCGCCCTTGCTTCTGGAAAGGTGGCAACTTTTGAAGTCAAAACTGCTTGCCTCTGCAAAAAGTAGAAGGGGAAAAAATAACACCCTTAGGCAAACACGCAAAGCCAGGAATCCCAGGGTCACTTCAGCAAAGAACGCCTCCGCGCGTGTTGAAACGCCCCTTTGAGCCTCAAATCCCCGCCGCCCAGGCCGGGCCACGGCTATTCACGCCTGCAAGCAAGCGAGGGCGTGCTTACAGGCGCTACCCGCAAGCGGAAAGCGGAGATGCGGGGCTTTCCAAGGCCCAGTTGAGTTTGAAGCTTCCCAGAAAACGGGCCAGCAAACGTGGGAAAAACTCCCCCCCTTCAGTGGGGCACGCAACCAAACTCCCCTGTGAATCGAACAGGGCGTGCAATTAGCAGAGGTCCGCGCAACTCGGAGTTACCCTCTACAAGAACCAGAGGGTCGACTTCATTGGAAGTCAAAACTCACCCCCTTTCCTTTTGCACATCACGTCAATTTCGGGAATGAACAAGGCCTCTCAATGGACCACTGGCACCCCCCGGACTCAGTATGCTTATGCAAGCCAACAATTGGGGTAGCTCAACACTGAAGATTCAGGGGACGCAGGTGTTAGTCTACTTTTCCACTTACCAGGGCTCCATTTTGCACCCCTGTTTTAGTCACACCCAATTGTCACTCGTTTCAAAACGGTATAAGGATGCACGATGAAGCCGACCCCGATTTACAAACCTTGGGGACTACTAATAGGTGGTCAAACCCCCAGAAGAACAGGTTAAAACATATAAAGAACGCTAAACTGGGACACGCCCCATTATCCACCAATTGCCTCTGGGTTTGCGTTACGGCTTACGACGCCGAGTGAAACCCAGTTGAGACGGTATCTCTCTACAATCGCTTCCTTTTTTGTCATACAATGTGTCAAATGGACAAACTCCTGCATCAGTAAGTGGTTCGTAATTCACCCAGTGGAATGAAATACGGCGTAAGGCCGTGTAGTATGTCGGCAATCGCCTCAATGTGGCCTTCGTAGGGTCGCCCAGAATCAACCTACTAGAAATTGGGAAAAAAACTTGTCGGGTAACAAACTTGTTGGGGCTGGAAGGAATAAGTCGAAGTCTCTCGTTTTCATCTTGTTTAACACTGACATGGTCCATCCCCAAAAAAGAAATGAGCCGGGAAAGGGGAGGCAAAGGAAACCTCGAAAAAGGCGACCAAGTCTCTTTTTTGGCCAACAAAAGGGGAGCTTCACCAGCAAGAGGTTTCCCCTTTTTTTCCACTAAAATGGGCCACCACAGCTCCAGGCCATCCCGCCTCGCTCATCCTCGACCCAGGCCTCGTACAAGCGCCTCGGCGCGAGGCGGTTGCAGGCGGTTTTTCCCCTTTGGTTGCCGGTGAAAACCAACCAAAAGGGGAATCCCCAAATTTACGAGACACGCCCATGTGTGAGGCCTTTAACTGAACCACGCCAAAGGGATCGTCAAGGCTAGACACTTCTTGGCCCACTTTGTTTCAAAGTGAATCCATGGCCAACATACAGTCTACTTACCTGTCGAACATCCAAGTAAAGGGAGACTGCAAATCAACATGGAAAACCCCACCACCCGTGGTTTTTCGTTCCTTGGGCCATGCCCCCCAGAGTCAATTTGGAGCCCTCCGGCTTCGAATCGAACCCAATCTGAACCCAATTTGGTGGTTCCAGGTTCAAGGGGTCCAGGTTCGCGGCTTGAAAAAAACCGGGCGGCTTGGGGTTCATTTTCTTGGCCTAGGGACCATTTGGGCCCCAAACCCGTCCACACGGCAGGTTCACTTCTCGGTTTGTCATCACAGCTTAGGGTTCAGCTTTGGGCTTGATTGTTTTTTGGAGGGGGGGGGGGTTAGGTGTTGATTTGGGGTCAACACGGTTTAGGGTTGTTGATCACAACAGCGCATTTGCATGAGGCCTCCAGCCACAGCTCGGAGCTGCAATCCCCGCCCCCGCCCCCCCCCGAATAGTAAAAAGTGTACGTTCCACCCACCAGCCCCCCCCCCCCAAAAAAAAAAAACACGGCGTCGGACACGCCCCCTAAACGGATCCATTTTCTCCTAGACGGATCCATTGAAACGCCGCAGAAGACCTGAATTCCGAGTAGCCCAGTGACGGGCCGCCGGGAAAGCGACGAGCGAAAGCTTTCCAAGGACCTGGTCGTTCCTTTGGGTCTCCCTACTAAATGGACCATCCTACTTAGCACCTGGAGCTTTGATTGGCCGCAATCTTGGGCGGGCATCATTCGCCTAAAACCTGTGGTTTCCCTCCAGATCCCCCTTTGAAACCTCCAAAAGAGCGAACCGTTAAAATCCAGAGACTCAAAAAGTGAGCCCCTCAAAGATTGCCCATTTCAAAATTTCGCTGGAGCGGCAGCGCGTGCTCCAGCGTCACGTCGAAGACCGCGTGGCTCTCCGGGCGGTTGACCTCTGCCAAAAGCCGCCCGCCGCCTCAAGCGGAGACCGAGCGAAGGACCTTTGGGCGCCACTTGAGGGTGTCTCTTGTTGGAGGTTCCCGTGATTTTGTGGTTTTTTGAGGGGTTTAGGAAAACACAGCGGGTTCCCACTTCGGCATTCGTGGAACGGGCTCTATGGCTTCTTTTCGGATGCCGCATGTGCCGTGCCTTTTTCCGGAACCCCTTCAGGATCCCCCAGCAGGTTTTGAGTTGTGGGATCCCACGGGGCTTTGACCGCAAGACTCCGGGGGCGCCACAGGCAATGGCGAGCTTGGCAAAGACCTGGCGAACCAACCGCTTCGGACCGCGAACCAGTCGATAGTCGGGCCCCAGCAACCCAAAGACGAGCTGCGCGACCTGGAAAATCCGAAAATTTGCCAACGAAGTTGGCCGGGGCCGTGGTGGGAACAAATCCACAACGGAGTTGGCCTATGGTGAAATCTGTGGTCCACCCTCTCCATAAAATGAACCGGGATGGATCCGTTTTTGGGCTGATACCATTGTAACATACCCTCTTGTGGAGTGCAGAGAGCGGACCAATGTTGTTTGAATCTGCCTGTGCCCAGTGACCGTAGACAAAGAAATGGAAGCCATTTTTGTTGGTGCATTCCATGTGCGGGGAAGCCAAACAGAACGAAACTTAGAGGCCGCCGCATCGCTGCCAAAATCAGCCCATGGAACCGCATTTGTTTCTTCCGAGTTTGGACTCGGGTCTTCACTTACGTACAGTAGGTGTCCCCGGGGGGGAGGGGTGTTGGATTTCACTGAGGGCGGCCGAGTCCCATGCAAAACAAAATCTATAGCCTGCATGGAGTGCAATTGATGATAGATCCAGCTTCCCCCCCCCCAAAAAAAAAAAAACACCTTGTAAATTGCTTGTAGGCTGAGGCTGCTCTTATTGTGCCTGCGAAAAAATGAGAGCTCCATCTCCCGGCCCAAGCCGCAACTTGAAACTCCCGGCCCGAGGTATCTTCGTAAAGTCCCCAAGTCCCAGCTCCCAGGCCCCAAGCGACATCCTCCAAATTCAACTTCTCGCTGCTTTGCGCGGATTGGCCAGAGTAACCAAACTCGTTCTGCAGCAAAATGCTAACCCGTTAAAAGTCGAAAGCCCTACTCATGGATTAACTCAACCCTCCACCCACCCACCCCAACCCACCCACCCCCCCCACCCCATCCTCCAACCACCCCCCTCGGCCCCTCTGCCCCTCTTCTGCCTGGCTAAGAGCTGCAGGCTCAGCGCCGGCCTCGTTCAAGTGGCTGCACTCCAGGTGTCTCTAAGGGGAGCCTTCAAAATCAGCCCACCAAAGGTTCCACCAAGCCACGGGCAAATGGGGGATCTACCCTACATATGCTGAATATATATATATATATGTATATATTTATCTATATATATATATATATTTATCTATATATATATATATATATGTGTGTGTATGTATGTTGTATATCATCATCACCATGTTTATGGTAGATACCCCCCCCCCCCACCCTTCGCACATGGAATCTGCAGGGCCCTGTAAAAGGAAAATGGTCCAAACCAGGACCCCCCAAACATCTTGGTGGGAGGGCAATTGACGTAGCCCAGAACACGCATGCGTCAAAAAAGCAAAAGGGCTACCCCCAACAGGGGAAACCACAAAGGGAACATCAACCAAAGGAACCCCTTGTCCGATAGAAATCGAGAGACAATACAGGATGTTTGCCGACGCCCAATCAGGTTTAAACCCTATGGTTGAACGCTCAACCGATTGATGGCCTCTACCCGTCCGGTTCTCTCCGGATAACACCTAAAGCTGGTACAACCTCCCTCCCCCAATTGAAGCGAGCTGTCGAGCCATCTGGTTCTCCAGATTTCACCCCGGCCCCCCTCACCAGAAACGCGAGCTGTCGCTGAGCTGTGCCAAGGTGCGGCAGCGCGGAAGCAGCGCAACATATCCTGGCAAAAGCTGGCCCCAGCTCCCGCCCACCGCCAAAGTGACCCCAACGTAGGGATGGTGTGTGCTTGAAGGCTTGGGACGGGATGGGCATGAGCACGCACCCATTTGTCAACCTGGTTGAAGGGGCCGTTTCTCAAGTAATTACAAGAAAAGAAGATCCAACCTGAAGATTCATTCTCCGGCCTTTTCCTAGGCGTTTTGGCTTCCTGGTAGTTTTGGTCATGTTGGGCATTCTAAATGAAGTCTAAGAGCTTGGGGCAACCCCCGAACCGGAAAAAAAAAAACGTGGTGTTTTTCCTGATTTGCTGGCGTTTGCGTGGTTTTGCGGGCGTTTGGCGGGTAATTCCGGGCGGGGAACATGCAAAAAGGGACCAATTCTGAAATATCACAAATATATGAGTTTGGTAGTTTTAGGCGACTTCGGGAAAAACGCAGAGAGATTTCGGAGAAACAAGTTGAGGAAAAGCAAGTTGATGACGAGAACTACCCGGAAATTCATGGCGAATGAATCTCCAGGAAGAGGTCAAGAGATCATGCTCGCTCTCAGCTGTGGCCCCCGTGCTTCGCACGTTCTCAGCAGTTCGAACCCCCAACTCGGGTTCCAAAGGAAGCTGAACAAGGACAAAACCTAAAAATAAATCTCTGCTCATCAATTCTCATCATTTCAGTCAAGGCCAAACATGTAAGATGGCCCCAAATGCTCCATACCTCTCCTTTTGCGAGTGATCTTTTCGTGGGGACGCCCTCCCTTTTGGAGTTCCGTGAGACTTGGATGCTCTACCCACGCTTATGTAAGTAAGCAACCATGCGCGTATGTCCAAAGCCTCCTCTGACAGTTGACCATCCAAGCAGAATCCAGGCACCCAACCACCCACCCAACCCCCCCCCCCCCCCCCCCCCCCCCCCCCCCCCCCCCCCCCCCCCCCCCCCCCCCCCCCCCCCCCCCCCCCCCCCCCCCCCCCCCCCCCCCCCCCCCCCCCCCCCCCCCCCCCCCCCCCCCCCCCCCCCACCCCCCCCCACCCACCCCCCCCCCCCCCCCCCACCCCCCCCCCCCCCCCCCCCCCCCCCCCCCCCCCCCCCCCCCCCCCCCCCCCCCCCCCCCCCCCCCCCCCCCCCCCCCCCCCCCCCCCCCCCCCCCCCCCCCCCCCCCCCCACCCCCCACCCCCCCCCCCCCCCCCCCCCCCCCCCCCCCCCCCCCCCCCCCCCCCCCCCCCCCCCCCCCCCCCCCCCCCCCCCCCCCCCCACCCCCCCCCCCCCCCCCCCCCCCCCCCCCCCCCCCCCCCCCCCCCCCCCCCCCCCCCCCCCCCCCCCCCCCCCCCCCCCCCCCCCCCCCCCCCCCCCCAACCCCCCCCACCCCCCCCCCCCCCCCCCCCCCCCCCCCCCCCCCCCCCCCCCCCGGGCCTGTTGATGGTTGCCTGTTCTGGTTTTTATGTTCATCTCAAATCTGTGTTCCCCCTTATTCGTTTTTAAAAGAGGGTTTTTAGGGAGCTTATTTATCGTTTTCGTTAAGGTAATCATTTTGGTAATTGCCCCCCTTGTTCATTGTTGGGCTGGGGGCAAACATTTTTTTCATTTGAAAGAGTTGACCCTTTTAGTAGTTATCAAGTTCTGGGGTGTTGGGTGGCGCGTATGTTTTCGGTAAAGGGCGTCCCTAATTCGGTCGTCTTTCCGCTCCGTGCTTCGACATCTCCAACCTCTTCATCCTGCCGGGTCGCTCAGTCTGTCAAGAAAGTAAAGCAAATACCATCATTTGATAAAATGACAAGCAAAGACAAACAGTGTTTCACCAACAATCAGATTGATATGTGTGTCCAGCGCCGTTCAGTGCTGAAAGCAATTCAGATTTCCAGTGTGCTCTTGTAGTGGCAATGGCACCAAAGATGTCAAAAGCGATGCCCAAGTCAGCGGTTGCGCCTTCATCATCCTCAGCGGGTGGTTACGTTGAAGAACCACCGACCATCAACCAAGAGTTGTCGGAGGTAGAGGTTGCTTCGAACTCATCGGACGGTGAGTCTAGCGACACGGAGGAGAATGAGGGGTCAGACAATGACCAGACAAGTGAGCATTCGGGAGATGGACACCATGACCCGTCTGGTGGCGCTGGTGGTTCTGCCGATGGTTCTTCGGGTGCTATGACTATGCCAACCGCGACGGTGGAAGAGACCGAGGACATGGTCTTCACTGACCCCGAGTTCGTGGAGCTCGTCGCCAAGGCAGAGACAGAGGAGCAAATCATGCAGCTCATCCAGATGGCGAAGGTCAGGGCAATGTTCTACTACAAGATTGCGGTGGAGCGAAAGAAGGTTCTCGACAAGATGGTGGCAAAGCGTCGTAAGCAGGAGAGGGAGGAGAAGAAGAGGCGCGAGAAGGAGGAGGCAAAGAAGGACCAACCTACCACATTGACAATCACTGTCATGTTTTGCGAGGTGCCTTACTCCATCGTCATCCCTTGCAATGCGACCCTGAAGGTGATTAGGGACGTCCTTTCCATTACCTACCCTGACAAGTTCGGAGTGAAGCGCCATGTGAAGAACTTGCGGTTCTTGTTCAAGAACGAGGAGATGGGCGATCATGCGCGAAGGACGGCAATGACAATGTCCGACAAGAAGACTGGATGGGCCATGGAGAATGGTTCGGTGGTCTATGCTTCGGTGCGTGGTCAGGGCGGAGGTAAGCGAGGACGCGCTGGAACGACAGGTGCGGAGAAGTCCAAGAACAAGTTTCTGGAACTTCAGATGTCGACAAATCACATCACCCACCTTGGAGTGCCGGACATGAATTTCAACAAGACCTACATCAGTCAGGCGAGCAATTCGGTGTCGGAACAGTCCCTGCTCAGTGCCTTCAGTCGGACATCTGTGGATAAGCTCAAATCCATCTTGAATGTCATTTTCAACAGCAACAACGAGAGTACCCGCATTGACTTCATCGCTAAGACCCTTTGCGAGGAATACTTCAACAACATTGAGCAAATGGAGGCATTCACTTCGGTTCTCACTGATGCTGGTCGCTTGTTGATTTCCGCTTCCATCTACCGTGGCTTCATGGGGGACAACAACCGCATCTCTTGGGAGGGCATCCGCAAAGCGATTGAGAAGATTGTTGAGGAGAAGTGCATTGAGCAGGGTCGTTCCACGACAGGCACAAAGGGAAACCAAACCCCGAATTCAGGGAAATCAAACCCTAATCATCGGGAAATCCACCAAAATAAGACTAGTTTAAAGGCAAACCCCAAATTCAGGGAAATCAAACCCCAAATTCAGGGAAATCAAACCCCAAATTCAGGGAAACCAAACCCCAAATTCAGGGAAATCAAACCCCAAATTCAGGGAAACCAAACCCCAAGTTCAGAGAAATCATCAAAACAATCGGTCAGGGAAATACAACCCTTTCAGGTGGCGACACGGCAGAGGATGGCATGTGATGACCACCTCCATTTCATCAAGGCATCCCCTACAATCATGAGTGGAGTTAGACCTTGCATAACTCAACATGTGGCATGTTTGCTTTGACATGACGTGCTGTTTCAACTATGTTCTTCAAAATAGGTTGAACACAATGTTGCAACTGTGCTGTTTTTTTTTTTTTGTCAAAGCAGTTTCATTACATCGCCAGACACTTTGTCCGTGGAGCGGTCAAAAGAAGTGTTGCTGATTGTGTTTCCATGTGCGCCATTGTCTTGAAGAAAAAAAAACATTCATCAAGAGTTGATACAATAGTCTTCAAGCAATTTGCATTGCTGAGGTTGAGAAGTCAAGCAGCACTACCATTACGAGACTGAACTCTACTAGGTTTGTTGGCGGGCGATGGGTCGGGTTAGGTGTTGTCCTGTAATTACCCCTTTTGGGTTGAACCCCCAAATCAAGGGAAATAACACTAAAACCCAAATCCTGAGCAACCCTACCAACCCTACCAACCCTACCAACCCTACCAACCCTACCGACCCCGCAACCATCCCGCTTGTCAGAAGGTCCGGCCTCATTCACATCTTAGGCGGGTTTCTCGGGTACGGGATAATAACAATCCTAATAAAATCATATACAAACCAGTATAAATACAAAAAAAAAACAAACTATAAAACAAGGCGAAACTCTCGCGATTTTTTTTTATTTTGAGGTCTCTCCCAAACCCATTTGTTTGTAAATGTTCGGTGATTTGGTCCTTTCCTTGTTTTCAAAACCCTTGTTTTTCCCCGTGAAATCCATCAACACCAAAAATTAACGAAACATAAAATCACCAAAACGGAGTTGAGAAAATCAAGAACTTTCAAATTTGCGACCAAACCTGAGAGCCCTAAAGCAAATAACACTAAAACCTAAATCCCGAGCAACCCAACCAACCGAACCTGTGCCTGAAAATAATTCTAATAATTTCATATTATTAGAACTATTTAGATAATTATTTTATGGAGTAATGTCGCGAAGCTCATTAGGCTATTACTTTGTAATAGCGTAATGTCGCAAAGCTCATTAGAGCATTTCATCCTGAAATGCTGTAATGTCCATATGGTAATGAAGTGAAAGCATCACTATAAAACCTTTTATTTTCATAATTACTGAGAGATTGCTTTACTTGAGACATTGAATATATTTGATGCGACTTACTTCTGATGAAGTTATATGTGATTTCGTGCTTTTTGTTTTGAAATAATGCTTCGTGATAGTTCTGATACGACAGTTCTTTTTTCACTTTGTGTTTCACTACACCTTTTGATTTCTTATGTTCATCAACCTCACCGTGAATTGTGAAGGCGTAAGATTTAGGTTTTAATCCGATGAATTTAGTAATGATTTTTCCATTCACTTCGTCCTTAAACATTCCTAAGACCTTTTTATTAGTTTTGTCATGACATGGATGCTCAACAGGATAGTCGCTAAAATCCATGTGTTGCTTTATATCATTGAAATCCTTATAGACATCATCAGTCATTGTTTGAATTACATAACTGTCAGTATCAGTATATATCAATTTGATGTTTTCATTATACTTCTTTTTCAAT